AGAGCACCCTCCTTTTTTCATTTCTAATAATGTAGTTCTTTTTTCTTTTTCTTTCCTTTTTTTTTTTTTTTTTTTGAGGGGGGGGCAGGGTGCTGGAGATTGAACTCAGGGGCACTTGACCACTGAGCCACATCCCCAGCCCTGTTTTGTATTTTATTTAGAGACAGGGTCACCTAGTTGCTTATTGCCTCACAGTTACTCAGGCTGGCTTTGAACTCTTGATCCTCCTGCCTCAGGCTCCCGAGCCACCGGGATTACAGGCATGTGCCATCACGCCTGGCTTCTATTATACCTTTTTAAAAATAATGTGAAGCCCTGGGGCTTTAGTACAGTGGCAGAGTCCTTGCCTAGCATGTGTGAGGCACTGGATTAGATCTTTAGTGCCACAAAAAATAAATTAAAAAAGCATCCTGTCCATCTATAACTACAAAAAAGAAGTTAAAAAATAATAATAATTATGAAGCTGCTGGGTGTGGTGGCAGGCACATGCCTGTAATCCCGGTGACTCTGCAGGCTAAGGCAGGAGGATTACAAGTTTGAGGTCAGTCTCAGCAATTTAGTGAGACCATGTCTCAAAATAAAAAGTAAAATGGCTGTGGATGGAGCTCAGTGGTAAAGTGCCCTTGGGTTCAATCCCTAAAACCAAAAATAAATAGTTGTGAAGCTGGGTGTAGTGGCACGTGCTTATAATCCCAGTGACATGGGAGGCAGAGGTAGGAGGATCACACGTCCAAGACTAGTCTCCATGTCTTAGGGAGAGCTTGTCTGAAAATTAAAAAGGGCTGGGTATAGTGGCACAGGCCTATAATCTCAGCTGTGAGGGAGGCTGAGGCTGGAGGACTGCGATTGAAACCCTGCCTCAGCAACTGAGTGAGGCCCTAAGCAATTTAATGAGACCCTGTTTCAAATAAAAACTGAAAAGGGTTGGGGATGTGGCTCAGTTGTTAAGCACCCTGGGTTCAATCCCTGGTACCAATAAATAAATAAATAACATGATAATATTAAAAATTAAAAGGGCTTATACAACCAGAGATATGAAAAATTGTGCTCTATAGGTATAATATGGATTGTCATGCATTCTGCTGTCATATATAACAAATTAGAATAAAAAAATTAAAATTTGGAAAAAAAATTGAAAAGGGCTACTGCTGTGGTTCAGTGACAGAATGCCCTTGGATTGGATCCTTAATGTGTTTAAAAAAAAAAAAATTGTGAGGCAGGCTCAGTGGTGCATGCCTATAGTCTAATATACCTCCTTAGGAGGCTAAAGTGGGAAGATTACCTGAGCCCACCAGGAATTTGAGGCCTGCCTGGGCAACATAGTGAGCACTATCTCAAAAAAAAGAACAGGAAAATGTATGTTCCTTTGCTTGTTGTTGGTCAATAACAATAACTCTCGAATGTGAAATATTTTACTTCTACTTCTTAATGTCTGTTTCCCCAGTAGACCCCAGGCCCATTCTAGCTACGGTGGGCTGGGGATGGAGGCTGAGTCATAGGCCAGGTGCCCTTGGGGGTGATCAACCTCCAAGTAATAAGGAGTGATCAGACTCAGGATATTTTGTTTTTCTGTGGGGCTGGGGACTGAACCCAAGGCTCTGTACCGGTGAAGCAAGTGCTCCACCACTGAGGTCCACCCCAGCCCTCGGGATGTATTTTGATGGTGGTGCAGACAGGATCTGCTGAGGGTTTGGATGTGCAGCATAAAGAAGGAAAAGGAGTCAAGGATGACTCTTCATTTCCTCGTGAGCAAGTGGGTAAATGGGTAAAACAGTGGACACTGAGAAAGAAACAGATTTAGAGGTGGGAGGCAAGAGCTTGGTTTTGGATGTCAAGTGTGTGATGCCAGTGGCTCTTCAAATCGGATTTTTAAAAATTTATTTTGGGGCTGGGGATGTGGCTCAAGCAGTAGCGCGCTCGCCTGGCATGCGTGTGGCCCGGGTTCGATCCTCAACACCACATACAAACAAAGATGTTGTGTCCGCCGAAAACTAAAAATAAATAAATAAATATTTTTAAAAATTCTCTTTCAAAAATCAGATCTTACTTAACTCCTTTTAAAAATATATTTAAATTTATAGTTATATATTTTTTATTTTATTTTTTGCAGTTCTGGGGATTGAACCCTTGGCCTCCCTTATGTCAGGCAAGCACTCTACCAAGAAACTACCCCTGCCCCCAAGTGGGAATATTGAGAGGGCAGTTGAACATGTGTCTGGAGCTCAGGGAGGAAGAAGGGGTTAGAGCGGTCACCTTCTTGAGAGTCAGATGGGACTCATCTGCCCACAGTCTCTGCACACAGCACAGACAGGGCCAGACTAGCATATGGATGGCAAGTCAATGAACACATGCTTCGCTGCTCTCTCCTCCCAGCTCTTAATAAGGAACCAAGAAAGTTGATGCCCAAAACATCCCTCTCTAATGTCAAGAAGCTAGTGACAGCTCCCTCCAGGCCCAGCAAAGCCAAGTAAGGAACACGTGGGGTTGGGGGAAGGAAAAAGGTACAGAGGGACTGTCCCTCCCACCTGCATCCCAGGGCCTGATGGGGATATGTTCCAGGACATCTTGGACACCCACTGGCGATAGTCAGAAGCGCCCCTCCCGAGACTCAGGTAAGGGCTTCCTTCTCCAATGGAGGGGACACCTGGTGGACAGCGATAGGGTGGCTGTACTGAGGTACAGAAATGGGGAGAGATCAGGGCTCAGAGTAGCCTTGGGTCTCTGAGATTTTGCTCTGATAGGTTCCAAGGACAGCTTCCTCAGTGGGGGTCCTGGGCAACCTGGCAGAAAGCACTCCAAAACCCAGGCTTCCCGGCAGCATCCCAAATCCAATCAGGTAAGGGGCTGGAGACATGGGAGACTCTGGAGATACTGGGCAGAGCTGGGCCCCAGAGGTGTGGTGTGCAAGAGTGAAGGATCCTGGACAAAGGGGAACCAGACTCAACCCTTCACAGCATCCAGCCTTTGGCTGAGATCTCACCCCATCGCCACAGGAGGAAGAGCCCCGCCCGGCAAAGCCCCTCTCTGTGAATAGGACCTCTGCTCTAGAGAAGACTGCCACCCCAGAGAAGATCCAGCCTCCACATAAGCCCACCAGCCCAGAGAAGATCCTAGCTCCTGACAAAGTCCCCATTCCAGAGAAGACCCTGACTCTGGAGAATAAGGCCTCCAACCCAGAGAAGATCCTGGCTTCCAAAAAGGTCCCCACTCCAAAGAAGACCCGGACTCTGGACAAGGTTTCCACTCCAGAAAAGGTCTTTTCTGTGGATGAGGCCTGTGCCCTAGAAAAGAGCTTGACCCTAGAGCAGGTGTGTTCTCAAGAAGTCTCCCCTGGAGATAATACTAAATTCCCGCATTTCTCTCCCCCGGAGAGTTTGCAGAGGGCGAAATCCCTTGTGGCCACAGAGGCTCAATCCCAAGAGGAGGCTATCATGCCAGAGAAGTACCCTCTGCAGCCTGACTCCTCAGAGAGTTGCCTTTGTATGATGAAACATGGGGATAGCTCCCCACTCCAGAATGCCTACAAGTCTATGCCTGCCATTACGAAGCCCCAGACCCTGGAGAAGGCCAAAACCTTCCTGAAGGAGGCACCTGCGAAAGAAGAGCCTACCCCAAAAGAGGAGGAGATGCCTCTGACAGAAGAGGTGGCTCCCAAAGAGCAGGTGCTCTTCAAAGGGATAGACCCTGACCCCCAAGCCCCACACACTGTAGAGCCAACTCCAGACCAAGAGACTCCCAACCCCCATTTCCTAGTGAGGCAAAACTCTTCCGAAAGCAAGAATGATGAAGTGGATGTAAAGACTCTAAAGGATGAGATGGGGTCTCTAAGGGAGCTGCTGGGGCTGCTGGAGCTGCAGCTGGAGTAAGTGGACAGGGGCTGGGCGGTGTGGGGAGGAAGGGAAGGGTCTGAGGACTCCTCACCTGATCCTCCTGTACACAGAGGGAAGATTACCGACATCTGGGAGGAGCTCAAGAGCGAGAGGGAGAAGCGCCGGTTGCTAGAGGTGGGTGGGGTGCAGACCCCAGCGGGAGGGTGGTGACCGCTGCGCGCCCTGACTCCCTCTCCCCTCTAGGTTCAGCTGATGCAGAGCAGACCGAAGTCGCCGAAGCAGGGCTTCAAACACGCGCAGACGCAGACGCACTGAGGTTGGGCCTGAGAGGCGCCACGGCCGGACCTGGGGGGACATCCGGCTAGGGCCAACTCGCCCTTGTATACAGTTTTTAAAAACTCAAGAAAGTAAACAGCCCCAGACACGCCACGCTGATCCTGCCTGATTTGTGTGGGGGCGGGGCCTCTGTCGTGGGCGGGGTCTTTCTGCTCTCTCCGCCCTCCGCATTCCTGGCGGTCTCTCCCGGGCACATCTGGCCAACATGTGGCTCCCATTACGGTTTCCAAGGCCTGAGCACGGCTATTTTTATCCACCGGATGGTGGGGGGCGGGGAAGGAGGCATCTCCTACCTATGGCAACCCCTAGCCCGAGACCTGGGGGCAGAGGGGGCCGGGCGGGTTGGGTTCTGCCTGAGGGCTGGGATTCCGGAATCCAGCTGTGCACGGAGGTTAGGCTGAGAAGCTCTTCTCTCCGGGGCCGGGACATCCTCCCCCAACCCCCCACCCCCACCCCCCTCCCAGAGAGTCACCTATCCACTCGAATGCACCCTTGGTTTAGACATTAACTCCGTCCCCTCAAGCACACACAGTTATATTGGGGCTGAAAGCACCTTAAAGCGTCAAGGTCAGGGTCCCCAGACCTCGCCTGTGATTGCAGTGATGCCTGAGCCCAGGGCAAGGTGCTCAGGTGTTCCCGGTAAGGAATGCATATTATGTGTGCCACTGGCGGAATGTGGAGCAAGGGTGTGTGACTCTCTTTGCTATCTGTGAAGTGGGAACAAGCATGTCGGTCTGGCGGGGTGTACCGAGGTGATACAGTCTGGTAAAGGAGTGGAGTTGGCTCTCAGTCCTGGGGACCACTAGTAGCAAGGGAACAGAGGGAGAGACCGAGTCACTGAGAATGCTGCTTTCATTGGTCACTTCACCTCTTCATCGTTTCTTAAGGAGACAAGGTGGGGACTTTGCATCTTCCTCCCACCCGGCCCAGGGAAGGGTGCCTCCCAGAAGGTAGCGCCCATATCCAATAGCACCAGGGGAATTTGAGGGGGGTGAGGCAGTCCAAAGGTCCTAGGGCAGCTCTAGGCTCAGTTGCCTGACCAGTACTCAGCGCCATGCACCATGCACCTGAGTAAGGCGTCAGTAATAGTGCATGCGGCCCAGTGTGCCCGTAGAGCTGGGCCCCAGGGTGCCGGTGCCCAGAAGGTCTGGCTGCCCTGTGCGCCAGATTTCGCGCAGGATCCGCTCGCGCTCCTCCAGCCGCTGCGCGCGCTCCAGTTCCTCAGCAGACGTGAAAACATTGACGCTGAGGGGACCGTCGGGCTCCGTAGCCATCTCCGGGCCAGGTAGCGTGTCGTCGGGGCCCAGTCGCGTCACCGTGTCGTCATCATCCTCATCGTCGTCCTCAGGCTCTACTGTGCTGCTGCGGAGGTCCCGGCGAGAAGCCGGACCCCCGGGCCGCGCGCGGGGCGCGCAGGAGATGCTGATGACCAGTAGACAGAGGGTCAGCAGCAGGCCAAAGCAGACGCCCAGCACGAAGTAGAGGCCAAAGCTCTCGGGGTTAGCTGGCGGACAGAGGGCAGAGGTCATGGAAGGACCTTGACTTATAGGAGTCATTTCAACTTGGGAAGACCCTGGGTTTGGGGCAAGGACGGTAACCCCGAGGTAACCCCGATTTGAAGGACGACGGGGAACAGTCATCAGGAAATCAGGGTGGGAGGGGAGGGAGTAGGTGACAGGCTGGGAGAGGGTTATAATGGCAGGGGCGTGGAGGTGGGGCGCGACCCGAAGGTGGGGAGCGATCGGGTGGTATAGGGGCGCGGAAGCGTCCTTGTCCCCAAGGCCCTTGCACCTGGCCCTCACCGCGGATGTGTGCGTAGGCCGCCAGGCTGTTGCTGAGTAGCTCCATGTCTCTTCGGGGGGCGTCCATGCTGCTCCGGGGGCAGCTTCCCTGTCAGTCTGCGAGGTCAGCGAAGTGAGTCCTCCCCTTCAACCCAGCCCAGAGCTGGCTCTGACCGCTTGCCCCTTAGGCAGCTCCTCTCCACGGAGGAGCGGCCCTTTCCACCCCGAGGAAGCGGCTCCCTAACTTGGTCGCAGACCTGGGTCCTGTTAGGGGGAATCCTTCCTCCCGGCGCGGACGCCCCTCCATCCTGGGGAGCAGTCGGGGGAGCCGCAAGAGGCTCCGCCCACCTGTGGGGTCCCCGGGAGGCCCGGTTTCGTCGTCCGGGGCGGGATGCGGGTTGGTGACGACTCCGGGGAGGGGAGGCCGCCCTCCCGAATCTCGCCCGGGGGCCGGAGGCCCGACTCACTCACCGTCAGCGCCCGTTTCCTGGCTGCCCGGCCCTGGCGGGTCCGGCGTGGCTCCCGGCGGCCGCATACACCCGGGGCCGCCGGTCCCGCCCGGTCCGGTCCCAGCCGCCCCGCCCGGCTCGGCTCCCAGCGACGGCAGCGCGGGCCGGACACGGCCGATGGACCAGCGGCGGAAAGTTTCCTCGGAGGAAAGAGGAGGGGCGGGGCGGGGCGGCCCGGGAGGCGGAGGAAGGGCGCCGCAGAGGAAGGGGAGAGGAGCGCGCGGCCGCCGAGGGGTGGCGGTCGGCTCCCCCACAGGAAGCCGCCGGGGAGGCCGCGGGCAGGGGCCGCCCCCAGGCCACCACTAACAACAAGAATAACACTGTTATTAATAACGTGCTTTTCTGCCTCGGTGCCAAGCAGCGGGATCAACCCTTTACACGTCCTCCATTTATTCTTAACAACCTATAACGCGAGTATCATTATCTCCACTTCGCAGATAAAGTAAGCAGAGTCATGGAGAGGCCCAAGAACCTCACCGGATGGTCAGGTTTTGAACCCACAGCTCTTTGACCCTAGCACTAAGGCTCTAAACCATTTCCCTCTTCCCTACTTCTTTCAGGGGTCTCAGGCAGACCAAGCTCCCTCCCGCATCCAGGGAATACTGCCCCTCCTCCCCGACCCTTCCCAGACTTGGGCAGAGGTGGCCAGCATCTCTAGGCCCTCAACCATCTTGGAAGGAAGGAGGCTCTCAGCCCCTCCTCCCGAGGCCCAGGCATGAGTGTGTCCAGCTGGCCGAGCTCTGATCTGGTCGCGCAGGGTTAATGATTGTTGGATTGTTAAGCCAGGCTGGGGCCAGGCTTGCAGACCCAAACCCTGCATGGGGCCTCTGCTTGTGCAAAAAAGCTCCTGGGCTCCTCTTCACAGACCCCTGTGGCAGAATGCATGCCCCCATCCCCCAAACCTGCCTGGACACACACACATGCATCTCCATTTGGGTTCGGGGTGTTGTGCATGCAATGTGTGATTAGTGTTGCAGCTGGGGTCTTCTTTCTTTCTGCCCAGTACCCTCCTCCCTGCTCCATAGCTTCCCTCCCCCTGGTGTTGGAGCTGGGGTGAGGGGGAGGCCTTCTTGGCGGGAGCCTTAGAAAGGAGGAGGGAAGGAAGGGGGAGAGGAAATTGCAGACATAGCTGAAGGCGCTGCCTGAGGCCTGTGGGCCATCGACCCCCTCCCTGTCCAGGCCGCAGACCCCCACTCCACCACTCTTGAGACTGGGTTCAAGTAGAGGGCAGATCTAGATGGGGAAGTGACTAGGACTGACGCCCACCTGGGTGTCTTTGTGACTGTTTACTCTGCTTCAAGAGGTGACCTGGAGGTATTTCTGCCCACATCTGTGTGGTTGCCTATTTCCATTTAATTGTGCTTGAATCTGTTTGCGGGGGTGGGCATGCCTGTGTATAAATTGACACAGCCCCTAGTCAACAACTGCTGAGAGTGTGTGCCTAGCCCTTCCTCAAAATGGGGATTTGGCAGTAAACAAGACACCAGTCCTTGTCCTCGTGGAGCTGACACTAAATTGGGAAGAACGCATAGTCTTGGGTACTGTGAAGTGTGCACAGGAGGGTGGGCGAGGGTGATGGGGTGAAGGACACCGGGGGTGCTGGCACAGACTACATTTGAAGTGAGACCTGAATCCTGCAAGGGGACAGCCAAGCCAGAATCTGGAGGAGAGTATCCCTGGCAGGGAAAAGGGACCTGGCTTACAGGATCAAAAAAACAGTGTGGGCACCTGTGGGCATGGGAGAGTGACTGACAGAGGGCGACCATGCAGGGGCTTGATTTTGATGATAAGTGTAGTGGGGAGCTCTGGAGAGCTTTAAACAGGTGTCATGGTCCCATGGTATTTTGGAAAGATCCCTGTGGTGGCTGGGGTAGGAAGGGCCACAGGGGTGCAAGAATGGAGGCAGCAGTGAGCAGGTTGGCAGCCATCCAGGCGAGTGATTGCCAGGGCCCCCGACTGGGATGGCTGGCGGAGGAGAGAAAGGAGACTGGTGGTGTTTAGAAGGGAGTTCCTGTGTGGACTTGGACATGAGGGAGGGAAGAATTTAGTGTTGATCTTGGGCCCAAGCACCTGAGGGAAGTTGTGTGGGAAGCAGGTTTTGAGGAAAGTGAGAATTTCATGTTAGATGTTAGATTTGAGGTGCCCATTATATACCTGGGTGGAGGGGTCACAGAGGCAGGTGGAACCCCAAGACCCAGGTACCATTTCCAGTCAGGAAACAAGATAGATTTAACACCCAATTAGTGGTGGATTATCTAGGGCAGAGGAGTAGAGAGAGAAGAAATTGTCTACAGCATGAACCCCCCACACCCAACTCTGGGTAGGGGTGGAGGTTACCTGGAGGAGTCTGCAAAAGTCCAGCGAAGTGGAAGAAAAAACAGGCCAGAGCAAGGACATGAGCAGCTGTGTTACATGGGACTGAGCGGTAAAAAAAAATGCGGCCAGAATCTGAACCTTGGCTTGGGCAACACAGTGACATTGTCAGTGATTCTGGTAGGTTTCCAAGGTTTATGTCCTACCTCTTCAAGGCATGCAAGTGCCGGGCTGATGGCACAGATAGTATAGTTGCTCTATTGTTGGGAATGTGTTGACATGTTTAGAACCTGCTATCTACTTGAGTATTGGTGTGTGCCGTGGCTTTGCTGTATAACCACGTGCATTGAGAGATATGCACCTCGGTTTATGTGGCACCTGCCTGTGCCTCTGTGAGTGTGAACATGCACGCTTGTCTGGATGTGTGCAGGTGCAAAGCCTAGGATATGTTTCTGTAAAGCTGTTTCCATTCATCTCTGTGCTGTACAGATCTCTGTGCACCTCTACCCGTAGGCAAAGGCGTGTCTGTGTCTGGGTTGGCATGGGATGTGTGTGTTTGCCATGGGTCAGGTGTGACTCAGCCCTGGGGAAGCAGGTGGCTATGCTGGAATAAGGTGAGTATTGACAGTTGCTGGTCCCTATACAGAGGGACACACAGTGTCCAGAGTGTAACCTTCCACAGGGGGATGCATAGAGCCAAGCCAGGCCTGGTGGGAGAAGTGGCAGTGTTGCCCTAGAGGGTTCTGAGAAGACAGGGCGGCTCCTGGAGGCCCTGGGGAAGGTGCCTGAAACCTTCAACCAGTGTCATCTGCACAGTCCATCTGCCCTGTGGCTGCCTGCCTGTCCCTGCCTGCTTCTCCTCGCTTGCCATCCTGCCTATAGATCTGCTCAGCCACTGCTTCAGTCTTGTGGTTGGGATCCCTCTGCATGTCTGTCACGGGCCTGTCTCGCTCGTTTCCTGCCTGCATATCCATGTGCTAATCTCCTTCCTACCACCTCCCATGTCTCCCCAGAATTTAGCTACTGCCCGTCAGGTTACCCTCCTGCTGGCTATTTCTCTCCTATCTGCCTGGGAGAGTGGGATTTGTCACTTTATAAAGCACAGAACGCTCCTAAGAGGAAACCGGAAAGACAGGTCTCCATGGGAGGTCAAAGGGATTGAGATCCAGACTGTGGGGAGGGGCCTCGTGGTGCAGCTTGTTCAGGGACCAAAGCAAAGCATTGCTCCCTCCCCTTGTGGCCCAGCGGGGGCTGGCTCTGGCTGCTCTGCTGCTGACACTGGTCCTCCCCCAACCACAATGGTGGGTTTTGGATGAAGGCAAGAAGGGGCCTCACACAGGGTTTCCTGGGGCCTGCCCAGTGCTCTGCGTGTTTCCACTCCCCCATCGCCCAGGACAGCTGCTGAGACCAGGGTACAAGGAGAAGGAATAGAAATGGATACTAAGTCCCCTCCTGGTGCCTGATGCTCCCTGTGTGGTTCACAGCACAAATCCCATTTGACAGGAGGAAAGCGAAGCTCCTGCGATGAAGACCATGGCTAGTATACCGACCTTAACATCTAATTTAAAAAAACGTATGATGGGGCTGGGGTTGTAGCTCAGTGGTAGAGAGCTTGCCTCACGTGTGAGGCACTGGGTTCAATTCTCAGCACTGCTTATAAATAAATGAATAAAATAAAGGTCCATCAACAATTAAAAAATATATTTTTAAAATGTATGATGGATTTTTTTTTGTCCTGTGATAGAAAATAAAAAGGAATGATGTGGATTTTTGGAATGACCCCTTGCTGGAGGGGGACACCTGTATGCAGGCAGATGCTGGAATGCTGCAGTTGTGTCGTGTGAAATGAACCTGGCTAAGGTTCTGAACAATGTAAAGTACAAATTTCCTCCACTCTACCCAGCAGTTAGATTCCCAGAAAATTCAACATTTATTATGTTGTGCCCTTTGTCTATGTGTGAGATGGAGTTGGATCCTGGCTCTGGTCATTATAAACAGGTTTCCCCTTATGTTGTGCAGGCTGCAGAGTCTGGTGTCCTCATGGGGTTGTCCGAGATCCCTGGCCCCCACCCTCTAAATGCTAGCACTGACCCCAAGTCATTGTGGTGACTACTGCACCCCCCACACCCAACTCCAGTAGATGACAGAAAAGGTTCTTGCTGTCCTCCAAGCAGCTCAGCAATTGAGTTTGGGAGAGAGAATCACTAATTGAGTGGCAGGTCAGGTTTTGATGTGCACAGTGAACAACAAATAAGGGTTCCAGAAGACCAGGTAGGTGTGGCGAGGGAAGGATCTCAGGTGACATTCTGAGCAGCGAACTGCCAAAAGGGTGGGAGCTGTGCAGGTGGATATCTGGGGGAAGAGACTTCTGGAAAGGGTGCCAGTGCCAAGGCCGGGGTGGAAGCTGTGCTGGCTCGGGATGGGAGCCCTGTGTGGTGGGGACAGAGTAGGTGAAGGGGAGGGGTGAGGAGTCAGGAGGTGGCAGGCAGGAGCCTCAGTGTGGACCTTCAGGAGCCATGAGGGCCTTTGGATTCCTGCATGGGGTGGAAGCCACTGGAGGGGTGTGAGGAGTATAGGAGGCACACTCTGGCCGCCGGCTGGTGCCTGTGCCAAAGCCCGGAGAGGGTTAATGCTGGAGTAGGGGCTGGGGTGGCCGGGAAGAGAGACAGATACAGGCTGACTTGGCTCTGGAGCTGGAACAGCTCAGCCACCAGGGCTCCGTTTCCTCACTTCCTTTCCCACTTTAGACAGCTCGGCCGGCAGTA